CCCACTTTATTGATTTTTAGAGAGAGAGAGAAAGGGAGAGGAATAGAGAGACAGAAACATCAATGATGAGAGAGAATCATCGTGCCTCCCACATGCCCTCCACTGGGAACTGAGTCCACAACCCGGGCATGTGCCCCAACCAGGAATCAAACCAGTGACCTCCTGGTTCCTGGGTGGACACTCAACCACTGAGCCACACTGGCCGGGCTCCAAAACTTTTTTATCTTCCCAAACTGAAACTCTGTGTCCATTGGATATTAATTCCTCATCCTTCCCTCCCCACAGCCCCTGGAGACAACCATTCTACTTTCTGTTTCTCTAAATACAATATGTGTCCTTTTGTGTCTGGCTTACTTCGCTTAGCATTTTATCTTCAAGGTTCACCCAGGTTGTAGTATTCTGCCCATTTTGCAGATACGATGATGGTTATTATTACCACTTTACAGAGGATGAGGTTCAGGGAACGATCTGAGAGCGGCTAAAAAGCAGACTTGTCATGGGGCTGATGGGATTGGCTGCCTTTTATAATCCCCTGGAGAAATCAGTGCTAAGCCATGTGCCTAGGCCTGTATGGCAGTTGAAGAGTAATTTCCTTTGTGTTGTATTTCCGTTGGGAATAGTTATGCTCTTATTCCCATTTCCCACTCTTTCCCGCTCAGTAACTCCTCCTAATATTTTCACTCCCGCCACCACCCTCCCACCAGTCCCAGTTTTCTCCTCCCCCGAGCACTTTAACTCCTTTCTCTTGGGCCCAACTGGCCTGGTCTGGCGGGCCTCCTGCTTGGGTCCCATCTGAGCGCCTTAAGCCTTGCCTGAGTCCCCGCTTCCACCCCTCTCCCCTCCTCCCACCCTGGGGTAGTCATGAGCCTGTTCCCTTTCAAAGCAATTAGTGCAAGGAGGCCAGCCGACTCGGTGCTAATGCCGTTTCATTAAGTGGGAGCAATCCTAATGATAATAAAATGGCACATTTAACATTCAAACATTGAACAGGGTTTCTAAGCGAGTGTGTCTCTCTTTCTTTCTGGTATAACAGTTCCATCTTCATAAGGACCTGACAATACACCTTAATGGGAGGCTGGGGGACTGAGCATCTTTCCAGAACCAGAGAGAGGATGAGAACCAGACAAAGAATCCAGGGAAAAGGGGTGCAGTGCATCAAGGGGATAAGGACCCCCAAGGATTCCTGGGGTGATGGATTCTGTGCTGCTGAGTCTATATGAAATGGGGTCACACGGAAAATAAAGCCCACCACCGACTTTAAGGCAATGCCATTACTTATTTGTCGATTCAACACATTTTTTTTTCCACAAACATTCATGGTGCACCCACGATGAGCCAGGTTTTAACAGAGCTTGTGATGGAGGGTGGCTCTAGTTTTAAGGAGAGGGAACTTCAAGGGCAGTAGTCCTCTACAAATCATCTTGTTTACCCTCCGCTGGGCAGCCTTAGTCAAATCCATCTCCAATTCATCACATGTCCCAGCAAAGAGAATTTTAACAGCCACTTTGGTCTCCTGCCCCGGTCCTTGTGCCCCTCGTTGTACAAACAGACGTCCTCTCAAAGGTCCTGGCTACTCCGTGATGATAGAATATTTGATTGACCATCTAGAAGCAAAAAAGTAATGGGATTGAGGAGCTGGCCAGGGAAGAAGGTACATTCAACCGTCTGGTGTTTAGGGGGGACTCTAAAAGCAGAAGAGAATGACATCCCACGGCCACTCCCTCCCCCACCCCACCCCCACCCCCTCACCCCAGAAGCCTTCCCAGCAGAGGGCTTCACTCACAGCACCTGTGCTCAAAGGAAAGGCTGCTGGACATCTTGGATGTCTGGGTCAAAGGTGAGCTTTGCCCAGGCCAGGGAAGCGGCTGATTCGAAAAGGTGTCAAGTCATAGGATGGTGTCAAGTTCATGCTTAATTCATACAGGATCTTGCCCACAACAGGGGACAGCTTGAATCCATGCCCTAGAGGAAGAAGAGCAGCTTGTCAGGCATCCTCAGAGACAGGGGCTGGAGGCCCCGACACCGTCCCGCGATAGAGCCTCCCACTAGGAGCACCCGTTCCTCTGACTTCCCTGCCCAGCCCCTTACACACTCAGTGTCCAGGCGCTGGCCCCCAATGGCCAGCTAACACCATTTTGCCTGGCACCGAGCTCTGGCACTCGGCTTTAAGGCCCCCATCTCCCCCTCCTCAGACTCACCCGAGAATCCAGCACCAATGATGATGTTGTCATACTTCGGGTGTCGATCAAGAATGAAGTGTTTGTCAGGGGTGTCCTAGAAAGAAACAGTCACACCTGTGTCCTTGGAGGACGGAGGGAGGAAGAACTAACTGCAGGCTCAGGAGGGAGAGGGTTAGGCTGGCTTCCTTTCCAGAAAGAATGGGAATGCGGCACAGGAACGCTCTCTGCACGCCAGTGCCCCCTTTGGGTATGTCAGCCTTTCTCATTTGTCCATCTGCCTCTCTCCTCCACAGAGCCATGAACACAGTAGGTGCTCAGTTAATGCGCGCAAACGAACTTAGCCAAGATGCCTCGGGCCCTGGTGACATCTGTCTCTTCTCTTTGTCCCCAAGGCCCGCTCAACTAGAACATCTTGCCAAAAAATCTTTTAGAGCCCTTCTGGGAAACATAGTGAAGGACTGCCAGGCGTAAGTCTAGTTTCCTAATGAAAAGGCATATGAATAACCTCTAATGGGCCCTCTCTGGTGGAGGTGAACCGAACCACAGAAATTAACTCATTTGTTTCAAGTCACATCCAATGTCAGGAGTCGAGGAGAGTCAAGCCTGAGCGGCACCAGGCCAATCTGTCTCCTTCCCCTGCTGCCGCCCGCCCCCTTACCGTGTACATGCAATGCTCCACGATGTCAGGAGTCGAGGAGAGTCAAGCCTGAGCGGCGCCAGGCCAATCTGTCTCCTTCCCCTGCTCTCCGGGGCCGCCCGCCCCCTTACCGTGTACATGCAATGCTCCACCACCGCAGGCTCGGGCTCTAGGTCAGGTAAGTGGTCTCTGACAAAGCGGCTCAGGATCTGCACGTCCTGGATGTCTGAGAATGCTGCGGGGCAGTCCCGCTCCTCGGGATCCGCGTTGTTGCCGTGGTGATAGCAGACCTGGCTCCCAACCAGAGCAGGGTGAGTGAGCTGCGAGGGCCGGCATTCCCGCACACCCACCCAGCCCAGGGGACAGGCTTGTACACACAGTGCCCCCATCCATCATCCCAGCCTTCCCCAGTTCCTGACAAATGCTGCTCGCTGCCACGCTAGGTTGCCTAGTTGTTCATTCCCCACCAACCCTCTGTTTGCAAAGGAAGGGCTCCCCTTGTGGGGCGCCGGGACAGCTGGGTGTCTTGCAATGCAAGTCGTGAATAGCGAGTAGATGCCCGCTGCCGCCCACTGGGATCTGAGGGAGTCCGCTGGGAACGGAAGAGCAGTGGCCCCGATTCTGTGTGCACCCCTCCTGGCCTTCTCTCTGCCTTTCACTCACCTTCATCAGCCCTGGGTACTCTCCAGAGGGCAGCCCATAGATGTGGTGGGGAGCCAGGCTGAGGTCCAGGCCCAGGAAGCATGGAAAGGCCTGGGACACACCATAGCTTCCGGGAACCTTCTCTCGCCAGTAACACACGTTGATCCGCAGGGTCTAGAAGCAGGGAGAGGAAGTGGGAGGTGAAAGGGGAAAGCCTTGGAACTCTAAAGACAACGCTGGGGTCTTATAGCCCTGCAATACAGCCCGGATGCCCCACTTCACTCATCTATCCCCTTTTCATCCAGTTCTCATGTCATTTGCGTGTTCCATTATATCATGATGCACAAAAATCTCTGAATCTCTCTCTTCTCCCACTCTTAGTCTTCTCCTATAACTAAGAGCCTTCCTGCTTCTTCTCCAGGGGTTAACAATGCCTTCTATTTATTGAGTACTTACAAGTGGCCAGACCATCTCCGAAGGGCTTTATGTATATCTTTTCATTTAATTCTCCAGCAGCCCTACCCCCCATTTTACAGGTTATACAACTGGAGGCTCAGTGAGGGAAACGAATTTGCCCAAAGTTGTCCACCAGTAAGTGGCCATCTGGCTCCAAGGTTTCTTCTCTTAAGCACCAACTCTCGGGCTTCCAGCGTCCCTTACCTGGAGAGGCAGCTCAAGTCCCAGGGGACGGAGGAGCCTGTTGGTCCAAGGACCTGCTGTGATGACCAAGCTGTTGGCTTGGTAACTCTTACAGGTGGTTCTCACTATGATCGGTAGCCCTGGTTTTATCTCCATCACCTTCTCTCCATCACACACTTTGCCTCCTAGCTGTCGAATTGCTTCCTGAGAGGACAGGACCAGAGAAGGGCAAATGGTTATATATGCAGTTCACCCTGGTGGACAAAGAGTCCTTTGCTTAGGGCAGAAAGGAGTGCAGATTCTAGACCTCCTCTCCCACATTGGCAAGACCTGGCAGGGTATATACAACTGCCCCGCCCAAAGGTCAAGACTAAAGCCCGCATGGCGAAGGCTCTCATCCAGTGGGGGAAGGCAGGTTGGGGCATGACTGATTGGGACCCAGGATGCCCAGATCAGGAGCTGCGTTGCCCCTAAAACTGCACAGTCTCACCTGAAGGACTCTGAGGGCCTTGGCTGCATAGAGAATTCCTCCAGACTCTTCCAAGAGTCCCACTTCTCCCTTGGCCAACCGAATGTTGGGGAAATGTTGCTTCAGTTCTTCAGGTGAAAGGCACTGGTGTTTCACCCCCAACCTAGACAAAGTAGCCTGGGTTGCCTTTAATTCTTGATTCTCCTTTACTCCCAGCAGTAGTAGTCCAGTCTGCCTGTAGAGAGAGAGAGAGAGAGAGAGAGAGAGAGAGACCTGGGTGAAGGTTTGCGTCAGGGCCCTGGGCCATTCTCTCTCATTCTTCAACAAGGGTCCCAGGGCCAGGCATCAAGGAGAGTCCCAGCCTCCCATTAAAAAACAAACAAACACAAACAAGTGAAGTTATCTCAACTCTGTTGCAAGAACGAGTCCCAGCCTCCCATTAAAAAAAAAAAAAAAACCACAAACAAGTGAAGTTATCTCAACTCTGTTGCAAGAATCACAGTGTTACTGAGCTGGTTTCCAGGCCATTCCCAAGTCTGCCCTTGTCTCTCACTACTATCGGTTTGCTTGTTTCTCCCTCATCCCTCTCAGGATATTCATTCTGACTTTGAGGGCAAAGATCCTAAGTCCTCTTTTATTTCCACACCTAGAAAGTGGTAGGTGTTCAATGAGTTTGATGTGATCTCTTCCCTTCCTCCCATCCCCTGACCCTATCTATTCACTGTTTTTCATCTTTACCCTTTACCCTCCTCCCCCACCCCTGCTCTTTCTTTTCTCTGTCCCTTTTCTTGTCAGGTAATGTTTTGTCCCTTCCTTTGTCTGTCTGTCTCTCTGTTCCTTCTTTGAGGTTGCGCATTTTGTGGAAAGGGTCCTAAACTGGGAGGTCTGGCTCTGGGGCCAGTCCCAGCATCCCCTGTGACCTTGCTCTGGTTTCTGCAGGCCCCAGATTCCTCCTCTGTGACAATGTCTATTGGACTATTGGTGGTTCCACATCAGTGTGCACCATCGCCAACCCAGGGGCATGTGGAAATGTCATGGGCCTTTTTTTTTTTTTTTTTTTTAGTTGTCACAATGCCTGGGGGTTGCCATTCACGTTTAGTGGACAAGGACCAGGGATGCTAAACCTGCGATGCTCAGGAAGATCCCACCCAAATGCCAATGGCACCTTCATGCAGAAATGCCAGTCGATGGCCTCTTAAGGCCCCAGCAATTAATTTAGTGATTCTACAATGTTGTTTCTCTTTATACTTCCCTCTGTGCTTCCTACTCACTAAGGGAGTAAAAGCGGTTTCTTTGTAATGCTTCTGTCTCTCGTCACAAGAAACCAGAGATCCCTTTTTTTTTTTTCTGGAAACTGATCTAAACAATAGAAAGGTCACTTTGGCCCTTGGAACCATTCCTGTCATCGCTCTCAGTTTCAGCAGCCGTAGTGGCCGGCATCAGCCCGGTACATCCTCCGGGTACCGCATATAAAGCTCGTAATAGCCTATAATGGAGTCTCATGGATATTACATGCTTCCAAATCCCACATTATCTGGTTGGGGGGATTAAAGAGAAGATTGGGAGGGGTTAGGAACACAGCGGGCCCCGGGGCTGGTGTCAGTACACAGAGCCACGCAGCGTGCCCAATTCATTTGCCATGGCCCCCGCCTACCCAGCGTTCACCACTGGTGAGAAAGCAGTAAGTACCTCTGCCTCTTCAAAGCTCAGCAGAGGAAGGATGCTAGAGAAATCCCCGCTAGCAGCAGACGGCCTTTTTCCTGTGGCCCCAAAAAAGAACCTCAGATAGGTGCTCAGCTAATGGAAACTTGCCTAGTAAACATCATGGTCAACAGGATAATTAAGAAGTCACCCAAGTGTATGTTCTTGAACCCTTTTTACCCGATGGGGTTGTAGCTGGGTAGAATTCTGGGAAAGACTTTGGCTTAACCCCTCCCTATAGCAGTCAGATTGCTGGCCTGGAAGTAGAACACATATCCTAACCCTGCCTGCAATGTATCAGCCTTGGTCTCTCATATGCTCTCAGATTTAGTTCCTTTCCCTTCTCCCTCCTCCCTGCCTCCCTCCCTTCCTCCTTTTCTTTCTTCCTTCCCTCCTTCTCCCCTTCCTTCCTTGAAATAAGAACCCCTCTCACAGGAATGTACAGTACAGGGGAAATGAACGCAGGCCAAGACAACGGGCAGATCTGCTGAATTATGAAATGCTGAGTGACGTTCTCATTCCCAAGCCGTCCTGTGGCGGGTGAAGCGGGGGCGCCCCATCCTGAGGAGTAATCAGCGAGCCGGTTCTGCCGGCGAATGTAATTGTGCCGATCGTAATCATTTTGCTCCCGCTCTCTGCCCCTGTGGCATTTATTTCTTAGCCCAGATATTGATCTAACAGTGGGAACTTTTCCATCTGAATCGGTGATGCTGGACCCTCCCCTCGTCCGAAGATGCGTTTGGGAAATTCTCATTTTCCGTGGATCACGGCTGAGCTATTTGGCCTGAGGGAAACTGGTGCCCTGCCGGAGAAGCGCCTCGGATTGGAGAGAGATTTTTTTGACCATTATGAGCAAATCGGAAATAAATGTAAAACACTGCCTGGAAATGCAAAGGCCTGTCATTATGGGAGATAGGTGAGAGGCTCCTGTGGGAAATGCTTAGAGAATTGGAAGTCAGTCAATCAAAACAGGGATGGGAGAGTGGACCTCTACCCCCGGTATGAAGATAGATGACTTCCATGGCAGATTGAAAATCATTTAAGTGCTTATTTTTTTTAATGGCTTTTCTAGATCCCAATAAACAGACTGCTCATTCTGCATCAATTTCTCGCCCCCGTGCCCTGGGCCTCCCTCTCCTCTTTTTGGCTCTGACCTAGGCTACAAAATTTGGGGAGGCGTCACAGGAAAAAGAAATGCCCAGAAAATGACTGGTCAGGGCTGGCCTAGCAAGAAGGCACCCCGAGTGAGGCTGGGGGTTCAGGAAACCCTGGAAAGAGTGCAGCTCCCAACTCTTCGAATGTCCTCAGCCGAGTGCAAAGCATTTGGTATGAATCGCGCCTTCCTCCCAACCCCAGCTGGATCCGGCACGAGGAAGAGGTAATCAAAGATTCCTCCCAAGGCTCACGTCAACTCGACGGCCCCACTAAAGCCACGGAGTTGGTGATTAGGGATTTCTCCCAGTTACTATAGCAGGACGGGAGGCAAGATGGAGTGGGGAGGAATTGGGGGGGAAGGGCAGACATCTCGCCCCACATCTGCCAAGTCCTAGCCCCGTCTCCAGCTTCCCCCTCTCTGGGTTAAAAGTACCAGGCAAGCCAGCTCTCAGAGTCACCTTGGGGAAGGGATTCAAGTAAGGACTGGGTGGTGGCTGCTGTCTTTGTTGGTGCTGGAGGAGCTCCTGGCGTTTCATCTTCGGCTCAGTGGGCCGAGGTGGAATCGGTTAACAAAGACCGCTCCAGGGAGGGGATGTGGCTGACAAGCCAGACACTTCGCAGACACAGGAAGCAGCAGCTGCGGAGGGGGCCACCAGGTTCTGCCAGCAGCTGTACTGCCTACGGCTGTGATCTTGTCTGATATTGTCAGCTAAGCAGGGGCAGCCGGGGTCAGGAGCTAGATGGTAGGCCTCAAAGGGAAAAGGCGGGGCGGGGAAGAGAGGGGCCACAGAGCTGGGATTTGCTGTTGCTATCAACGTCCTGGCTGTACACATCACAACGATTCAGACCTTGTGATCTGACACGTGTCACAGTCTGTTTCCAGAATACATGCAAATATCCCGAGCTCACCCATGTTTAGTATGCCACTGTCACAGGAAGCGACAGAACAGAAGAAAAAGAATTGAGCAACCGCCTCACCTACCAACTCCTGAAGGTGTTATTTTTTTTTAAATCATCATCAAATAGCATTAAGTAAATGCATCCGTATCTATCAGTTAGATTATGATATTGTGCTAGTTCTTCCAGAAGGACCTGTTACTATATGATCCACCACGAAGATGATGGATCATTTAGAAAATCTGAATTAAGAACAACAGCTAAAGGAATTGGAATGGGAAGTATCTGTTCTGTGTCCCCTACTAAGTTAAAGAACCAAGCAAATTAGTGTGCCTGAGTAAATTAGGTTAGCCATAGAAAGGACTTGTCAATAATAATAATACAGAACACCTAACACTCCAAAGGACTTTTAAGGTTTTCAAAGCACATTCACTTTACTCTTCCTTTTTCATAATTGAGGCTGTGAGACATCAGAATGGTCTTTTAAGGAGGGCTATGTATGTGTCTGTCTTTAAATGTACCATACATTAGCAGTCTTCTGATCTGGGATGATTTAGCAATAAACTTGTTTGGAGACAGGAGGTAGACAAAGTAACCAATTTGTGGTATTTTCTAAACCAGGGGGCCAGCAAACTATGACCCAGGGGCCAAGTAAGGCCTGACACCTGTTCTTGTCACAAGCCAAGATGGTTTTTGTATTTTTCAATAGTTGATAAAAGCAAAATTTCATGACATGAAAATTATACGAAATTGTTGTGTCCATAAGTAAAGTTTTATTGGGACACAGCCATGCTCATTTGTTGCAACTATATTCTCTGTGGCTGCTTTCACACTGCAGTGGTAGAGTTGAGTAATGGGCAAAATTCAATAGTTGCAACAGAGACCATATGGCCTGCAAGACCTAAAATACTGTTTGGCCATATACAGAAAAAGTTTTCCAAACCCTGCTCTAGACTATAAGAATTCTGTGATTTGCACTAATGGGTTAAGGCCCCGACTACTCAGTAGCAACCCTCTAATGAGATTTAATGAGAATTAAATGAGTTAAAAAATATCAGGTAGTTTTAGAACAATTTGACTTTCTTACTATAAGCACTAAATATGTGATGATGATGATGATGATGCTTTGTCTAAGCCCTTTTCATACTTATCCTCACAACAGCCCCTGAAATAGATATTATTACTCCTACTTTGCAGATGAGAAAACTGAGTCTCAAAGACATTAAACAATTTGCTCCAAACCACACAGCTAAAATGTGTCAGAGCTGATATCCAAAGTCCTGTCCTCCTGCCAAAGAAGAAGATTATGAAAATATGAGCATCTGCTACCCAAGGGTGCCTTTCCCTCTCTCCCTTTCCAGCAGCCTTTCCCCTTGATGTTCTTGGTTGCTTCATCCCATCTGTCTCTCCTGCCCTACTTCCTCCCTGGCTCAGTTGAGATAGGATGTGGCTAACCCAGAACAGGTGGGAGGAACTGCCATTTATTGAAAAGTGCTAGGCACTGTGCCAAGTATTTCACAAGTCTCGTTTAATCCTCACAAAACCCTGTGAGAAAACACGAGACACAGAGAGGTACAGAAACTTTCCCAAGGTCACATAGCCGGTAAGAGGTAGAGCACAAAGGCAAATTCAAGCCTTCTGACTCCAGACACTCTTCTTCTTTTTAAAAATATATTTTTCTTGATTTCAGAGAGGAAGGGAGAGGCAGAGAGAGAGAGAAACATCAATGATGAGAAAGAATCATTGATTGGCTGCCTCCTGCACGCCTCCTACTGGGGATCGAGCCCGCAACCTGGGCATGTGCCCTTGACTGAAATCGAACCCAGGACCCTTCAGTCTGCAGGCTGAACACTCTTCTTCTTTTAAAAAATATATTTTTATTGATTTCAGAGAGGAAGGGAGAGGCAGAGAGAGAGAGAAACATCAATGATGAGAAAGAATCATTGATTGGCTGCCTCCTGCACGCCTCCTACTGGGGATCGAGCCCGCAACCTGGGCATGTGCCCTTGACTGAAATCGAACCCAGGACCCTTCAGTCTGCAGGCTGACGTTCTATCCACTGAGCCAAACCGGCTAGGGCCAGACACTCTTCTAACGTCTCTTTTAGTCGCCTCCTTGTCTACTAGGAAGAACTTTGCCCTCCAAGGCTCAGCATTTCTTTTAGCACAAGAGACTCAGCAGTATTTGCAGATGGCTGACAGACAGGGGTCCCTTTGCCAGGCCGCCCCTCAGCGGGACATGCTCCTTTATTTGGGTGCTGGGTGCATTAGCTGCCTCTGGAATAAATCTGTAATTAGCTGCCCTCGCTGTATTTGCATAATGGATTTCACTTTGTTCTTAAGTTAATGGTGTTTTTGCAACAGAACAGTAACCTCTTGGTTCCTGTCCATTAAAATAACTGCCACCCTGTAGGGTAGAGCTAGAGTTTTGTAGGAAGTTCAGTTAAGAGCCATAGAGATCAACAATAAAAATAAAAAAGAAGGAAAAAAAAGAGCCACAGAGAAGATGGGAGCGGAGGTGGTTGGGTGGTTAAAGTTCTCTGTGTATCACAGGCTTTCTTCCCCATGAGCGTGTGAAAGGTCAGTTAGGAGGGGGCCTTGAGGGTTGTCATGGGGGCAACAAGGAAAGAGCTGCAGGCTCACTCCCTGGCAAGCAATGGGGTCTGAGGAGCATCCCTACTTTGTTCTATGGGAGGAGGCGTTCAGAGAGAATAAAATGGATTTATAGGGGTCACTCTGGGAGTTGGGAGCTGCACCCAGCATGAAAAGTTATGATACTAGTAGGAAGATAAAGAATCAAGACAGCAGCCTCCTGTTCTATAACCATCCCTGCCCTAAAAGAATCTCAGATGGCTTCATGGAGATACAGACACAACTTCGGCTAGCCTTGGACACATGGTCTGAACCAGCCCTGAAACTCAGACCCCAGCAGGAGCCATCTGGACCTGTGGGTGATCATGACGGTGAGCAGAATGCTTCCATGTGACTGGCACTCCCCTAGGCCCTGTGTCCCTCCATGGCATTTCAAGTGTGCACGGCACTGCTCCCTCACATCCTAGAAGCACCTCCAGGTGCCAGGCCCCATGATTCAAGGAATTCTTCAACCTGTATAATTGGGTTCCAGCTTCGTGCTCCAGCTGGGCCCATATCTGGTAGCACTCATCCATCATCTGGGTGTAAAACTCTTCAGGGTACGCCCTTCGGATTATCCGGCTCTGCCCGTGGGAGCTTCCTCGGGAGTGTGGTAGAAAGAACTGGAAGTGGAAAACAAGAGAGACAACTGAAGCTGTTACCCCTTGCACTTCCCCACCACCCCTCCCCACGCCCACCTCCCACCCCCCTTTAAGAGCCAGCTCATCAAGTCAACCAGGAGCTGTCAATCTGGAGCACTTATTCTTCAAATATTTCCATACATTCTCCCTTTGTGACCACGTTCCTGATCTGGCTGTCAGAACAGAAGTTCTTCAGCTTCCTTTTTTGCTAACATCATTCACATCCCCGAAGCCCCTTTGTTAGTGTGTCTTCAGTCAACCTGCTGCTACCCCATCCTACTAAGAGGCACAGAGAAGCAGAATTAGAAAGGGCCTTTGAGATCATTCTAGTCTAGCCCCTCATTTCATGGACAAGGAAACGGATGCTGACTATTTCCCTGTGGCTTCGGATCACTCAGGACAAGGAAACCACTTGGGATTTAGCAAAAAATGGAGAGTTGCCTGCAAGGTTGAACCAAGAATCCCTCGGGCTTTGAGAAAAAATGACAGAGAAATAAAAAAAGGTTTCCAGCCCTAGCCAGTTTGGCTCAATGGATAGAGCATTGCCCTGCGGACTGAAGGGGCCCGGGTTCGATTCCAATCAAGGGCACATGCCTAGGTTGCAGGCCCAGTCCCCAGTAGGGGGTGTGCAGGAGGCAACTGATCGACGATTCTCTCTCATTATTGATGTTTCTATCTCTCTCTCTCCCTTCCTCTCTGAAATCTATTCCTCTCTCCTTCCTCTCTGAAATTTCCAACCAATCCAGCTTATTACCCAGAAGAATCAACCAAACCAGGCAGAAGGGGAGGGGAGAAATCTTTGGCAGGTGAGCTGGGTGGACATGTCCTGGGAAGAACCCTGTAGACAGGCAGGCCCACCCACATGTGCATGGTCACGGTAGACAGCGCTGCTTGGGGTCACCTTTTCTATAAGGAAAACTAAGACCAAAGCCTTATTTCCTGTGCATCGGACAGGCGGCTGCTATTATCTGGAGGCGGCAGAAGAAACAGAAGCCTCCGCTGGGTGCCAGGGTGAGAGGCCAGGAATGTGCAGGGAAGAATCCTACCTCTGAGGCTGACAAATCAGCCTTGCCTCGAGACAAAATTAGCTTTACTTAAGGTTACCCAAAGCAGAACTGATTCTTTTTCTGGGCCAGATCAACCATTTCGGCTCGGAAGAGAATGGATAGCAAGAAGGAAGAGAACAGGGCCTGGGACACTTCTTGATCAAGGGCAGGAACTGGGCAGGCGGAGGGTGGGGGGCGGGGTAAAAGGAGAAAATACACCTAGAAACCGGACATGGGTCTTGGGGGGGAGCGGGGGATGGACTTTCTTTGCATTGTGATGATGCACACACCAGGCAGCTAAGCTACAGATTGCACAGAATTTGTGATGATCAGGCCCTTTGGCCTGGCCCCACAGCCTGCTAGCTCTGGGAACCTCTCTCTAGGGGAGAGACAGGGACAGTCCCTAAGGTCAGGAGCACAGAGGGGACACAGTACCTGCTCCAGCAGGAGAACGCGCTTCCCGTGTTTGGCCAGGTGGTATGCAGTGAAGCAGCCCTGGATGCCCGCCCCGATCACAATGGCATCGCAGAGGTCATTCTGAGCAGCCATGATGCCCACTTAGCCCCACAGCCACAGAGCCCACACACAAAGGAGAGGGCAAGCAAAGCGGGGGCCCTGGGCTGAAGGAGGAGGAGGAGTAGGGCAAAGTCCAGCCTGGCCAGCATTCCCACAATCCCCTGGGGCGGTGTCCTTCTCCCCTCCCCCAAAGCCTGGCACAGGGCTTGGCCTGGCCTCCCCTGCAGAGCAGAGCTGGGTAGTCTGGTTTGTGAGGGTTAACCCAGCTCAGCTGCCAGCCTCACCCTTTCATCTCTCTAGCTTTCTATTCTTGGCTCAATTATTGTCATGCAAATGGGCTCCTTCCTTTGCCACCTTCCTGTCTCATTATGATCTTTGTCTCTGGGACCTCGGCCCTGGAATTTCAATGCCTCCTAGACCAAGCTGGGCACCAGGAATGCTGCCTCCCCCTGCTGGCTTTCCTCTCTTCAGCCCGGTTTCCTTTGAAGATTCTAGAGGGCCGAACTAAGAACTTGGCACTATGCCCAGGATAAGGTCCACCTCCCTGGGGGTGGTGAGGTCAGGGGGTAGGTGCTGGGGCCAATTGAGAGGGCAGCCTTGTGATTATAAAATTACTCTCAGCGTGTTTTACTTTCATTTTGTCTAAAAGGAGAAGAAGAAATGATCCTGAACAAATGGAAAGGACAGAGTGAGAGGAGCAGCCTTCTCCTGAGCCACAGCCAGGGGGCCAGGCACCAGCCCAGGGCATGGAGGGGCCCATGCGGCGCTCCCCCTGGGCTAGGCAGTGTGCTAAATAAGTTCTTCCACATGCATTTGGGACGGAGCCAGGATGGGTAGGGCCTAATTCTCATATGATTTGGCGGTCCTCTTTAAGAAAAGGAAAAGGAAAATGATGAATACAAAATTAGGTGCTAGGACTTGGAAGAAACCATGCAATTAAGGAGCCCCGTGGTTGACGTTTCATCAGCTTCACGGTAAAACTGCCTCGGCATGCCTTGTCCTGCTTAATCCTTACAGCCCTAGGCGCAAGTATTTTTATCCCCACTTTTGGCAGGTTAAAGATGACCCCAAATTCTCTGTCACTCCTCCTATCACAGGCTCTGTGATTGCTTGACCAATAGAATATGGCAGAAGTGACAATGGGACTCTTTCTGGCCCAGGCCTTCAGAGACTGGGAGCTCCCTCTTGTCTGGGAGCGCTCACTGCTGGCGTCCTGAGCTCCCATGTTAGAAGTGCAGCCGCCCTGTGGGAGGGGCCACGTGGCGAGGCCCTGAGACCACATGGAGGGCCAGACGTGAGAGTGAAGCCATCTTGGACCCCAGCCCAACCCAGCCCAGCCACCACCTAAATACCACTGAGTGACCCAATGTATGCCACATGGAGCAAAAGAATCACCCAACCAAGCCACATCTGAATTCCTGACCTGCAAAATCATAAGATGGGATAAATACAATCGTTGTTTTTAGCCATTACATTTTGGGGTGATTGGTTATGCAGCCATGCCAAAATACCCCTTTACAGCCAAAGACATCCAGGCTTACAGAGGTTGTAACTCACCCAATGCCACACACCTGCTAAACCCAGGCACTGAGGTGTGAACCCAGGTGTGCCTGCTCCAGAACCTTAACCACAGTGCTATACTGGGGAATAGTCAGAACTTGTCATGATGATTCTAATTGGAACATTTTGCTGTTTCTCTCATGGCCATACTGTCAGTGGGAGAAAAAATGGACCGGGATATCCATGTGAACTCAGGGAGCTGCCCAGCCTCAGTTCAGTGGCCGCCCCCAGCAAAGAATGCCCCTGAGTGACCTTGGCCACAAGCTGTCTTCTCAACCCAGCCCTTGCTTTTCTGGGAATCTAGGAGCCCAGAGAGGAGGTGCCATATGACTGGCTTTCTTTTTCCTTCTGAAAAAAAAAATTGCTCTAGAATCCATAAGTCATCTCAGCCCCACCTCACCCCAACCCACAAGGCACAGATAACATCCCCCTCCCAATTGGACAGCTCCCATAGGGTAAAAAATGGCGAGCATAACCGAGAAAAATGTACTATTTAAGTATATATAAAGGCTTGATATAAATATATAAGGTCAGCCCCCAGATTTCTCTTGATAAGATGTCAGAGGAGATAAACAGTTTACACACAAGGAAAAGCAGATAGTAAATCCTCGCATGGAAGTGTGCCCAGCCTCACTAGCAATGAAAGAAATGGAATTAAATAACTTCAAGGCACGATTATGTGCCCATTAAGTGAGCAAAAATAAATAACAATGATAACATCTGACGGTGTCAGTGCTGTGGGGACGGAGAGGAGGGTGGCAACCCAGAGTGTCCGGGGACTGCGCAGAACGCCGGGGCAGTGTGCGCGAACAGTAAAATCGTTTAAACCTTCTGACCTAGAAATCTGACTTGGGGAACTATACCCCGAGGAAATATCAAGGGGAGAAAAAGACATTTGTATGAAGACATTTACAGCTGTGCTCTTATAGTAGAAAAGATTGGAAACAGCCGGCCACAGGGAATAGCTGAACAAACTCTGGCACGTGAACACAATGGAATACTATGTGGCGGTTCAAAATGACAGGCGCAAGGACGGTGGGCCCCGCAGAAATGTGTACGGTATATGAAATCACACTGAGGAGGAGAAGCAGGACACAAACAGACACACAGATCACAACCCCTAGTCACGTGTGTGTGTTAGCAAAGATCTAAAGAGAATCTGGCGAGGTAATTGAGCTTAATGCTCATTAGTTTCCGTATTCTATAAAAATTGTGCTTCCATTGACAATTTGTGAAAGGAGGAGGAATCCCCCGGGGATGCAGATGCTTTAGATCTCCCCGGTTCCTGGTTCCGGGGTCGGGGCAAGTTCTTTCTTTGTTCTCACCTCCGTTTTGCCTGCTGCCCGTAACATTTCTTATTGTTCGTCCTCCAGAAAAGCTACAAAGCCGCTGGCATCCCCCCCCCCTCCTTTGTTTAATATGATATCCCTTCAGAGATAAAATGACAATTCCATTTCCTCATCCCTACTTCACAAGCCTGCCCTGGATTCCTGGACTCAAGCATTATGCTGCTTGTTAAGAATTTCAAACGGCTCCTCCGAAAGCATACACTGGCCGTGGCCCAACCTTGAAATGAAAAGCAAATTGACTTCTGAAGGTTTCTCCTCTGTCGCAGGGCTGCCCGTCCTTGTGGCTGTCCTGACAGGGGAGGGGGAGAGGAGCGAGCCCCTCAAATTCCATTTTAACACCCATTCTGGGTTCGAAGACCATGAAAGGGAGAGCCCGCAGCCCTGCGCCGTGCTGTGGTGTGTCAGCAATTGTGGCTGGTGTCCTGGGGCAGAGCCACCGAGGATGTGAGGCTGAACTGCTCGTCTGACGGCTTGATTGGCACTTCGCAGGTGGGGGTGGGAGAGCCAGGCCAGGGAAGCAGCAATCTGTACAGATCAGAAATAATTAGGGACCCCGAACTGAGAGAGAGAGAGAGAGAGAGAGAGAGAGAGAGAGAAGAGAGATCTAGGAGTTGAATGGTGAGAGAAAGGGGCTTCTGTTGTCTTTCCTCTGCCACTCTTTGCCAAGAAATGGCTTCCAGGGTTAAGAAGGCAGATAGGCCAGGGGAGATGGCCCCTCCAGACCCATCCTGCCAGCTGCGGGGTAAAAAAAAATTAGGAGCTGAATGTGCAGAAGACTCCAGCGTGAGGGAATGAAGAGGGGCAGAGCTGGATCCCTGGGTGGTCTCCCTGCACACTGAGGACCCCCTGAATGCTCAGGTTTCATCCCCTCGCCTCCATCCCTGCTCCCTGTGCCCAGGTCATCCATCCGCCTTCCCTCACCTAGATTCTTGCATTAACCTCTTAACAGTCTCCCCGCCCCATCCCGGCCCCTCTTAATCTACCCTTCCACCCTGCCTGGCTCCTCCCTCTGAACCATGGATCTGAACGGGTCACTCCCCTGCTGGACCGTCTCTAACACCTGCCCATTTTCTCTGAGGCTAAAATCGCAGCTCCTTCACTTGGCACACAAGGCAGTTTGCGTCCTGGCCTCCGCCTGCTCCTGCAGTCTGTCTACCGCAGGTCCCTGCTCCTGTGCTCGTTAGGCCTGGCTACTCGGAGCTAAGAGAGGTTCCAGCGTTTGCTATGATGACACCAAACTCCCCCACGTCCCTTCCCACTCGGTCTAGTCTCAGTGTTAGCAATGAGCACAGTGTATTGTAATTGTTTGCATGTCTGCCTTCCCCCTCAGCTCCGTAAGGGGAGGGGGTCTTCTTTTGACTGTCATTTTTCATAGATAATGCAACAGTTAAAAGGTAAAGAAGAGAACAGATGTCTCCTTCCCACCCTGTCCTCAGCCACTTCATTCACCTCATCACATGCGATACTGTTACTATTTTCCTTTGTCTCCTTCCTGAGATGTTCTATGGGTACACAAACTTACTTACATGGTATATTCTTATTCCTTTTTCATCTCAGAAGGAGCGCCTTGCTGTTTCCATTTCCTGTATTTTGGCTTCTCCGTGAGTCATAGGGAGCTGGCACATTCTGCTGGCGGCTGCATAGTATTCCATGGACCATTCGGGGGAGGCATTTGGGACAGAGAAGGCACCACATGTGTTTGCTGAGTGAATGGAGGGTCTCTCTGGCTGTCACAGGGGCCCTGTAACCGTGTGGCTCTCTAGCTATCTGGTATTAGGTGCTCAGGGAGGGGAGAGGTCCGTCTGGGCTGGCCCCCCGAGTTACATCAAAGGCTGACGGTGCCTTGCGTGAGCGGCTGAGGGCAGTACCTACCTTCAGGCCAGGAAGGGTTGGGGCTGGGGCTGGGACACCCAGAGACTCTGGCTTCTGCCTCCTGCCCTGCCTTGGTTTTTGCATTTGTTAAATGGCACTATTAAGGTCAACTCCGCTCCCTGAAGATACAAG